TTTTTATAAATAATTTATAATGTTTTGTCTTTTTTTTTCGTAGGATGATGAAGAAATTGATCAACGATACAAGGATTTTGTAGATAAAATTTCGGATTTAGCTGATAACGATCAAACATTAACATCAGCAATGTTGAAACAATTGTTAAAAGACTTTAAACTTGAAAAATATAAAGATTAAGTTTTTTTATATTGTTCATTGTTCATTTTTCCTTTTTTGTTGTTCGTCTTTCGTTTTTCTTTTTGGATGAAAAAAAAACATGCTATTTGGATTTATGTTCTAATGAACTTGTTATTTTTTATAGTTTTGAAGAAAACATCACAGTTATGGACAATATCTATTCTATGATAAATAATTTGATTGTTATTGATTAAGAATAATGAAGTTTAGTTTTTTTTTTATAACACAGTGTATATTATCTATCACAGTGATCAAGAAGCGATTTATCTCTAAAGAAATACTTGTTCATCAATTATAACAATAAGTACATAAGGGATTATCAATTGGACTTTGAATGATAATGAACTTATGAATGTAGTATAGTAAATGGAAGGTACATTTAAGAAGCAAAAAACAATGACATTTTACCTGAAAGCAAACATGACCATATTCAATTAAAATGATTATTTTAGAAAAATTTCTTTTTTGAAAACATGTTTTCAATATAATGTTTCATTATCTAGACAAAAAGTAATGATATAATGAAAGAGATACGAAGTCATAGAGACATATTTACAAATGAGATTATGAATGGCGAATATAATTTGATCATATATTTGAGTTAATATTCATTATTTATTTTTTAAACTATTAGAATATCTTTTATATTTTTGTTTAACAATGCCATTTTATACTTTTATTAAATCCAGACATAAAGAAATTCGTATAGATAAAAACATAGTTACGATTAATTAATCCTCGAATGAAGGAAATAATGTCGAAGCATAAAATAAGAAAAAAACGGTGAAAGAAAAGAAGAAGCAAATCATCAAAAGAATATTATGTACATAAAAAGAAAAAATAATAAGAATACGAAATGATAATAAAATTGAGTTGTAGCACCTATCGTTTTACCATTGTTTTAGATAATTAAATTCTTGAGAAAGCTTTTATTCTTCATCACATAATGGACAAGAACCTTTTGCTGATGTTAATATGGAGTATTTTTATATGAATTTTGTATATTTTAGTTTTTTTAAAAAAAATCTTCCCCTATAGTATTTTAAGTAAACAATGACCATGTTTAATTAAAAATATTTATGATCTTCCTTGTCAAAAATCATGACTTTCGTCAAAAACAGATGGGCTTTGAGATTTTTAGATGGTTGAATAGCCCATGTTGATTACTTTTGAAAACAGTATGGTTTATCGAAACTGTAATAATTTTTCACGGTTTTATACAAGATATATTGATGATGCTATCATCAAAGATAATGATTTTTTGAAAATGTTTTTCGTTTTTCTCAAAATGAGTTTTTTATTTTTTCTCCCTTGTACGTTTCCAGATTTTTCAGGTACTTTAAATGCTAGACAGTGGAAAAAGATGTTAAATTGAAGAAAAAATTATGTTCTACAACCTAATAGAGCGGGATTGTTTATTTTTAACATAGTTTTTCATAAAAATGGGTATTTTTACGGGAGTATTCCCTATTTTTCGAATTTTTCGAGAAAAACTTCCACCAAAGATTACTAAAGAAGGATTTAAAAAATCAAGATATATTAGATTGTAGTGACAGATGTTGGCTACGTTTTGACATCAATCCCAGATCTGTATGATTAAATTTGGAGGAGAAATCTGGAACAGACGAGGAGCTACTTTTTCAGCCTTATGATGTGAATAACTCTTGAATAAGCTAATATTTCGGGCTGAAGCTTTTATTATAGTCTCTCAGATTCGAGCATACACCTTCTGAAAATTCTAGTAACATCAGTTGTTTTGGAGAAAAAAATAGATTTTTGACAGGGAGAGGACGCTTTATGGAAATTATGATTTAGATACGATTAATGCTAATCAATCGAAACATTTAATTACATTTTCATCATGTCATTTAAATATTTTCAAATTTATATTTAATTATATTTATAAAACTAATGATGATAATAATGATATTCTCAAGAAATTTAAACAATTTCAAACAGACTTTTGGATTGAAAAACATTGGTATATTGAATATGAATTATCATATTATTCATCATCTATTTATACAGAACCTTATATATTAAATTCTTTTCAATTAGAAATAAATACTCAAAGATATTAGAATCAATTCGTAAATACATTTCATAATCTAACAAATTTAACATTATACCGTGCAACATTAAAAGAAAAAACGTGTCAATATTATTTTCCGAATGTTGTATCATTAACAATACGTCCTCCAAAAGGTACTCATAGACCTGCGTTGGGAACACGAACTATAAAATCTTTGAGAAATATTATTAATCCATTTAAGTTAAAATATTTAAGAGAGAGTCCATGAGATCATTGTCCAACTCAGTTGCCGAAAATTTTTGACTTTGAAAACTGAATATGCCATTTGAAATAGCAAAAAAAGTTAGCCCGATGTGCAAATTTTCAGCTCTCTCGGACATGCCGTCTTTGTCGAATTAATTGCATATTACTTGTTCCTTCATAAATAGTTCCTAAAATTTCATTGATTATATCATTTAAAATTATTTCAAAGAAAATCTCTCTTACCAACTTTACAACCACGGAAATTTTTTTTTTACATATATATGACACGTTTTCTTATGATATTCTAAACCAACTGAAAGTGATTTTTGTTTTCTACTCGATTTAAAGAAGAAAAATTATTTTAATTTTTGCATTTTTTAATAAAGATAATTTGTCTAGTGAATTAATTGTCTCAACTATTTATATTAGAAGAAAAAATACGAATAAATTGTTTGTTTAATATAAACAAAAGTCAGTCAGTCGATATGATATTTATTATGACTAGATGAAACTATTTCTGATAAGTTTATAGGTGAGTTTATCTAGATATTCTACGAGATAAATTTGTTTTATCTTGATAGAAACGAATATGTTTTTCCTAATAAAATGATTTGTCAATATGACTTGGTTTGATTCGGACAATAAATCGAGAAAAAAAAACGAAAAGTAAAATAGTTAATGATGATCTGCAAAGGGAAGAAATAGATGATCAGATGGAATATATAAATAAAAGAATATTTGATCAATAAAAGATATAGAATTATTTTTGATTGTAGAAGGATAATATTTTTTGATTATTATTATTTTTAAAAATAAAATATTTAATAAATCGATATAAAATAACAAAAAAGTGAAGATTAAGAAGAGGATTGATGAGGAAGAGAAGGTATTGGTGAAACATTTTTTCGAAAAAGTGTCCAAGGAGTGAATGGAGATTTGCGAAGTTGATTTTTATTTTCATCAAATGTTGTTGGTGGTGCTGCTAAAAAAAAAGGCGATTTAATTTTTGAAAGTGTTTTTCTTCTGATAAAGATTTTCTTTTTCTTCTTGTATTCAAATTTTCCAATTGACCATTAAATTTAGTAAATTGTTTATGTAAAGACATAAATGATGCTTTTAAATAAATTCTTTTGTTTAAATTTGATGATGATCATGTTGAAGATTCTTCTTCTTTTTCTTCTTTTCCATCTGAATTTTCATCACTTGATGGTTGAGGTGTTATACGATTAATCATATCTTTTAAAACAGCTGCATCACGTTTTAAATCATGTCGTGTGAGATTATTGAAGGATTGTTTTTCTAATTTATCAACTCTTTCAGTAGCAACTGATTTCATTATTCTTCTCATTAATGAGATATGACAGTGAGCTACGTCGCACGCAAACTAATACTGTTTGCGAACGAGAAAATATGCATTTCATTTCTCGTTTGCAACAACCAAGGAGCCAATAAACACGTTAAAAAAAGAACACTTATGTTAGTGAAATAATACATTTTCGAACCGTAAAATGAGGAACTTAACATCTTTATCAATCATATATAAAAGAATAGAAAATTGAATTTCTCTTGTAACATAAACATCGTTCTCTAAAATCCTCATCCTACATAGTAATAAGTATCGACGTACATATACGAAAAGCAGAACTCGTAAGCATTAATATATCGATTTTATTTTAGGCAAGTAGCGTGAAAATAGAGATTTTTCTCTCAAAATATTGCAAATCATTTCAGTTCAGTCACTTGAGCCTATAGAATGCGAACAAAATATTGATCTAGACAGTTTGAATTGAAATTTTATCCGTATTTAATCATCAATAATGAGAATACATCGCGGAATAGAATGACTGCTCTCAATAATATAAGATTGTTTGCAAGAAGTCAACTCTCAATCCCGTATTGTTGAAGAAATTTCGATACAATCTTTTGCAGATGTCGAAGTATAAAGAATATGCCATTTGATGTTTTAGATTTAGATTAAAACAATGACAAATGTCCAGGATAGTTCGTCGTCTCATCGAAAGATAGCGCTAATAATTGGTAACGATAACTATAGTAGCCTACATAATAAATTAAATCATTCTATCAACAATGCAAGAAATTTGAGAAATTTGCTCGATAAAATCGATTTTGATGTTACTATGCATACTAATGGTGATTCAAAAATGATGATGACAATCAAAAATTTCTCTAAGAAAATCAATGATGGTGATTTGATTCTATTCTATTTTTCTGGTCACGGCTATCAGGTCAATGGGAAAAACTATTTGATACCTGTTGATGATACTATAATAGAAAGTGATATAGATGTCGATGTCACTATACTGATCTTCGATTGTTGTCGACCATATTGGCTAACATCTCCTACAACATCAAGCTGTAAATCCACTCATTTATAACCTTGTATTATAACGAATATTTGTATTTTTCTTAAGCTACGGTCCCATCAAAAGGTTTATGTAAAATTCAACCACTTCCTGGAACTTTCATACAATTTGTCTGTGCTGCTAATCAAACAGTCGATGGTTCTAGAGAACAAAATCGTAATTGTTTGTTCAGCAAACATTTGCTAAAAAATATCGCTCGAGAAAATGTCAATATTATTGATATTTTTCGAGACATATCCAACAATGTATATTTGGAAAGCAATTGTGTGCAGAAACCATTGTTTATGAACGGATTAGATGGATATGGCGAAATCTTCCTCAATGTCACAATAAGTAGTACGTACAAAAGAAGACTTAGATTATATTATTTGTATATTTGGAAAAATGAGAATAGTTGAGTTATGATTTTCTATGAAAAGTTATAAATGGGTTCATATATTCATTGTAACTGCAATAAGTTGAATCTATTCGTAGCTTTTGTTTTGTGTTAATCCGAAAAGGGATTACAATAAAATTATCAAAAAATGTTTATTTTCTATCCGATTTGATGAACACGTAAATATCGATACTCTTTCGAATTATGAGATTAGAATAGATCATTAATTTGTTCAAAAATTCTTTATATTTTTCATAGTTTTGTTTAATTACAGTTATACCGAATATTCAGTATAATGCCGTATGGAAATCTAGAGCTCGAACTGTTGCTGGTGGCCATGGTCCATGTCAGAGATGTCCATGGTGGTGCTACCGCTGCCGCTACTGCTGCCGCACCGCTACCGCCGTGGCGTTAGCGGCAACTTTTGTGTTTTTACCGTCGTGGTGCGGCGCGGCAGCGGTTGAAATTTCGATTTTTTTCCGAGAAAATATAATACTTGAGTAGACTATTTTACTATGATTCAAAGCAAACCAATTTTTTTCTTTCTCAATCATTACATTTTCATTATACTTTAATCGGCTAATAGAAATATAAAGGTTAGCATCATGTAATTACACGATGATTTTATGTAGGAGCATGTTACTAGATTTTCAAGAATTCATATTCTAGCACATTTATAATTTATATATATATAAGTAACTATACACACGAAAATGCTCGAAGCATTATTAGGTGTAAAAGTTTTAAATGTCAGATATATCTCCAAAGAAGTAAATGAATTATTTTCAGTTCTAATTAGTATGAATGAAAATTCAATCCAATTTTCTATTTGATCCTTTAATTTCAACACATTTCGTGACGTTTTTTATTGCAAAATAACCGATGGAGACATGAATAAGTATAGGTAATATAGATTAACGATATATCGAATGAAAACAAATACAAACAGAATAGATGTGGTAACTATATTATAGTCATTTTAGTAAAGTGAAGAATAGCGAATTGTTTATCTGTTCATAGATCTCAAGATTCATCTGTAGTGCATAAGTTTCTTGGCCAAGATTCTCAAGTACTTCATGAGCATATCAAATTATGTTTCCGTAGGATCAGTTGCTTTCTCTAAGTTCCTACAATTTCTCGCTTTTTCCAGACTAAAATATCAGTTATTCAAACGAAATAAGAGTATTCTATTTGATCCATACAGCGCTTCCTATTTATTTAGGGTTGACCAAAAATTCTGATCACGGCGTTACTTAGCCATATAGTAACCTTTAAGAAACTTTCTTTCTATATGATCTGATAGAGAAAAGAATGCTCTATTTTTCTATGCTATTTGATCGTACTTCAACTAATTTCGTGATAATAAATCTTCGATAAGATTCTTTTCGTTATCATTTTTGCTCTAGTAAGTTTCACGTTGGAGTATCCAATTCCTTAATCCATTGTATTAACAACCAAAATATACCATAAGATGCAGCGTGAAAAGCTCTACAATTTACATAAGACCGCTTATTTTATAGTTGCACTTTTCTTTTTTCTAAATGGACAAAATTTTGGGCGATCAAATTTCGACTATGCGAAATTGGTAATGTTTCTGAAACACGGCGTCTTCATTTTTTGTTCTTTCATCATTTCGTCACCTGATATGCTTTATCAAAAGAAAACAAAATACACCACAAGATGCAGCGCGACAAGTTCTAAAATCTTCATAGTAAAGCTTATTGTAATTGTTTGCAAAAGAAGGAAAATTCTGTAGGATCAATTTTTGCAATGCCCAAAATTTGGACCCTGAAGACTTTGTTTATATTGAAAATGGAATGTGCAACTATAAAGTAAGCGGTTTTATATAAATTGTAGAGCTTTTCACGCTCCATCTTATGGTATATTTTTGTTCTTAATACAATGGATTGAGGCATTGAAAACTAACCTGCCTCATCTGTTGTGATCTAGTACTACAGTACAAATGATAACGAAAAGAAGTCTTATCGAAAATTTATTATCACGAAATTAGTTGAAATACGATCAAATAGCATAGAAAAATAGAGCATTCTTTTCTCTATCAGACCATATAAAAAGGAAATTTCTTAAAGCGTACTATATGGCTAAGTAACGCCGTGATCAGAACTTTAGGTCAACCCTAAGTAATTTAATATTTCAAGTGTTCAGATGTTCCCGGTCATTCGCTGTATGTTTGTTCTTCAATTGAAGCTCTAAGGAACTCATGATTGTTATCCATCTCTTCACATACTGATATTGACGTAATAACTCATACCGGCTATATGCTACAAAAGCGGTTTTTTATTAGAGAACAGAGAGTTTCCTATAGATCGCACTATTTATAACGTCGCGGTAGCGGCGCGGCAGTGGTAGGTTTTCCTTTTTGTTCGTCGCAGCAGCGGCGCGGTGACCTTTAGTTGTCGAAGCATTGCGGTGCGGTAGCGGTAAGATTTGAAGTTTCTAAACTCATCGCGGAGCGGTAGCGGCATATTTCCAGCCGCGATGGACATCTCTAGTTTAAAGATATAAACAAATAAATATTTGATTTAGTTTTATTTTCAATAGGTTGATTAGAACATTGTGATATACTGCATCACTCTATTGAACGTATATCAATAGTGTTATTGAAGAGTGATAAAGCTGATTTGTTTTTCTAATTTCTCATATAGTTATATAATGAATAGATTAAAAATAGATGAAGATATTATATCAAATTAGACTGTAATCATTTTCTCGAATATCTTCTTCTGAGAGAAATAAATTATTCTTAAAATTTATTTCTTTATTTAGATTCAAGAATTTAAAGCACTACAAACAGTTATTCTTCAAACATATTTTAAGGCTGTTCGATTTAATAAGGTAATCTTATCTTTTAACAAATACACCCTATATTAACAAAACAATAATTAAATTGCGTAAAACATTTTCTTAAACTATACTCGACAACAGATTTTTTTTTAAAATGAAATATGAGATGTGTTAGCAACAGAATATTTGAACATTCATGTATTATAAAGAACTACTCTCTCGTGTAGAATTATGGATTTGTCTGAAATTTAGTTAAAGTGATATGTAAGTATTTGTTTATCTAAGGATACCCAGGTGAATGAATCTGATACCGGATCCAATCGGATCTGGTCGGATCCGACTATCCGACAAAATCCTATGGGATTCCGGGAAACGGATCGACTAACGGATCTGACGGGCGAAACCTATTTTCTTAATTACGTGCTAATTAGCATTTTAACCCAATACTAGAGACCAGTCATATTTATACGATGAATTACTATCGGAATCCGATAGTAGGATCCTATAATGTCTAGACACTAAGATTCCGTTAGTAGGATCGTCTCCCGGATTCCTATAGGATTTCGTCAGATTTATAGAAATTCCAATAAAATCCGATCGAATCCGATAGGAATCCGATCGGATCCGATTGTTGAAATGATTCTCCTGGGTAGTATACTTTTCTAAAAGTATGATTAGTTGAATTGCAAACAATCTATCGATTTGTTCTGCCTCTTCAAATATATAAACAGATGTAAATATTGAAATTTTTTTATTTATTTATGAGAACAA